GGTCTGCACTGGGGCCAGCAAAGGTCTGCACTGGGGTCAGCAAGGGTCTGCACTGGGGCCAGCAAGTCCAGGCTGCACCTGCAGCTACCAGAAACAGTGGAGCATTCAGGCAGGGCACCACTAGTTCCCTGAGCCCAGAGCTCAGAGGGTTGTCCCCATCCCCTGCCAGCCTTCAGAGCTGTCTCAGAATTCCCTTTGGCTTGGCAATCTGATGCGTCCTGTTTGCCCCAGGCAGCTCCCATATTGCAATATCATATTTTAATTAGGAGAAAAATTATATGTTGCATGCTTGAATTAAATTAAATTGCATATTTATATTTATAAGACACAGTATTGGCAGGATTTAAATGCTATATGAATTGAAGAACCAGAATACAGGTGTATTATAGTGATTTGTAGCTGAAACATTTGCTAGAAATGCACACAAAGCAGAGCAGTACCAAATGCTAATTTAATACCCTAAGACAACAGTCTGTGCTCTTGTGAGCACAATTTCCCATATTCTGTGTGAGCATTTATCCCCTTTCTTTATGAAAAGGTATTAAGATCTTTTGTTACAAACAAGCAACATAAAAAAAATATGTCATACCACTTCACAACTACTAATGAATAATATCATTTAAAACAGACTGGGAAATAAACTAGTATAACATATTCTACTCTACTAGTACTATAAATATTCGCAAGGTTGTTATTAAAGATAAATGCACACAGTAATTTTCTACTTGTRGGTTTTACAGGTATAATTTTGAATCATACAATATTTTTTAAAACACATCACAAGCATGGAAACCAACAAAAAGACTGACTGGCAGCGATTCCTTGTGATCAATAGCTGACGTCTCCATCTATCTTTGAGGGCCCACATAAATTATATCGTGGCAGTGTGAACCTTCAGGAGGAGTGATGTGATTAACTTGTTCAGGGTCACAATGGGGAGGGTCTGATTTTACATACAGATTTTACACCTGTGGCATTGCCCTTCTGTGGCTGCATTTGCAGGGGTACATTCTGCAGCTGCCAGCACCACCCTGAGGTGCTGCCAGGGGGATGGAGGGCTGTGGGCAGCTCAGCTGCAGCTCTGCATTCCTGAGGGGCAGCTTATTCACTCTTCACTGAGATCCAGAGCTGGGGTGAAGTATGAACGTCACGCACAGATCCGTGCCCAGCCTGAGAGCATTCCTGGGAAACCCTGGTGCAGTCGCAGCACTGGCTGCTCCAAGCTGCCCTTCCCAGACCACAACAGCCTCCACTCCAGGCCTTGGAAAGCAGACAAAAAGCCCCCTCCTCTGCAGCTCCCCTAGAGCTGCAAATAATGGACTTCTCTTTCCAGGCAGCTGMAGAGAGAACCACAGATATTTTTTTGTTTTGTTCAGCAAATACAAGCTCTAAGTTAAAGCCTAGCATCTTTAGATGCCTCAACAAAAGAGGGAAAAAGGGAATACACACTTAAAGAGAATAATTTCTTGGAGGCTCTGACAGGAGATGGCAAGGCGCCAGGCAGGGTAGTTGGAGAATAAGCCTCTTTGCAGGATTCTGGGATGTCTGTTGCTGAACTGCTTCAACTCACTTGAACTATCTAGAACTCATATTTAATTCTTATTCTTCTTTCTCTACATATTCTTACTTTCACTCCAGTCCTCCAAAACCAGACATCATAAGCTGTGAACCCCAGGCCCAATGTGCCTTAACATTACCCCATGAAACAATACTGGCAGGACAATTTATTTCTGCTCAAAACAATCTCCCCATCCTAAAATTGTGATTGTTAGGTTAGCATCCCATTGAGATGAGAAGAGGAAAGAGCTGCACTTTCAGGTTGTGCCTAAAATTTTAAGGAAGGCAAGCTGCACCGATTTATCCTTATTGTACTGTTTTATATCCACAAGAACAAAAAAAACTTCTTTTTAGTGGCAGATTAAATTGTGCAGAAATGGACTGACACTGAGAAGGCAAACACTGCAGTCTGCTTAAACAGGCTGAGTTGCACATCAAAGGCTGCTTTGCCACAAAAATATAAGTGTGTACACACTCTTGATTCCATAGGCAAYTTTATATTTAAAACATGCATACTTATTATTTTATTTGTAATACATATTAATATATATATTACATATTTTTTCAGTAAATAGATTTGCAAAGAATTTATGGTTTAGATTGTATTGATTTTCAGGAAACTTGCTTAGAAAGTAATTAAATGTATTTTATCCTTTAATGTTCTCTTTTTTGTTGTTTTGCATTGTGTTACTGAAACAAAACTAAAAACTATGGAATGGAAGGATTTTTTTTTTTTTTTAACTGAATATTATAAATGAATAGAGCAAGGGATGTTAATGTTTGTCATTTTCCTTATCTGAACACATGAATATGTTATATGCTCATTTCCATTGCAAATGGAACAACAGAATAATCATTGCAAACTGAAATGTACTGTACATTTCATTTCTTCATTTCTTTGAAAATACCACTGACAAAAATAATAAGTTGCCAGTATTCATGTTCTAAAGCTCTGCATCTCAATGAAAATTGAAGGAATTAATGGTGTCCATCCGGAATAAAGCACGGAGTGTGTTCTAGAAGGTTGTTATTATTCACTGCTGAAACAAAGTCAGGCTATGGAGCCCTGAACCATGACTGGGCAATTGTGCAAGGCACTGTACAAACATGTAGTCATCCTGTTTCTTGCACACCTCTCCTCCACCTTGCTCACACTTAATGAAAGATTAAAAAGAAGGCAGAGAAGAGATGTGACTCCTTATCATAGCTAYGTTAGTGAGGAAATACTAGAGAAGGAAAAGAGCTATTTGAGGTAAAGGAYAAATTTGCCACAAGAATGAACCTGAATAAAATGTCAGTGGTATAGTTAGAGTCACAATTAGGTTTCTGTCYATCTGAGCAGTAAGGCTCTAGAAGTGCCATGGAGCAAAAAAAAAAGCCCTCGTGAGCGTTAAAAAAAATCACTCTGAGTTTTTTAGCTTTCTATTATTCAGTGTTTACTTTGCGAAGTGCAGTAATGTCACCTTCTCATTTGGTCCCAGAGATTAAAAAATACAATGAGAGATAGCACCTAGCCCAAAGAATTTATTTTTATCCTCATAGACAACAGAACCAAAGGAAGAAAGATCTGTAAGTGCAGGCAYCAACTCTGAGCTCAAAATAACATTTGAAGACATGGTGAAAAAACGCATGCAGGATGGCAGGAGGACTGGTACTTTTCACATAATGATGAGGCTCCGTGGGCCAGAAAACAAAAATATGTAGAATAAATAGGCAGGAATAAAACCATAGGATGAATACAGGACAGGAAAGTAAACTGCATCCTACTGAACAGAGTGGAACTGACACCCATGTACACTTGGTCTTACTGCTAATGGGACACTGGGTCACATCCTGAAAACCCTTACTTATGCAAGTAATCCCACTAAAATCAATGGGAACCRTGACTGTAATGACTGCTTCCATGTCTCCACTAGGGATTGCAAGGTCAGGTCCATTTTTTGTGCAATATTGGATGAATGCTAGAAAATCAATATCTCTATTGAGACTTCTTCTTTTGGAGTAAAAATAAACCTGGACCATTTTAAGTTCAAATGTTCATTTTTCCTGGGTGTTTTTATAAATTCCTTTTGAAAGCAAAATGGTCAAATCAAATTGAAGCGAAATGCTCATCTTTTTGGTGTGTTTTACAGCTTGTTGTTATACCYAGCTTTGTAAAACCATGTAGGCTAAAGGCAACTTCATAGTTT